CACCCCGTCCCAGCGCTGAGGGCTTGTGGAGCTGCCGGCGTTCGGCCGAGCCGCTGGAGTCCCCTGCGAGCCTCCGGCCCCGACGGGCGGCCGCTTGCGGGGAGAGAGGAGGAGGAGGAGGGAAGGAAGGGGCGTGTGAAGAGTTAAAAGTCTGCTGCTTGTTGCAATGAAATTATGGCTGGCAGTGGCGCCGCTGCTCGTTCAGCAGACCTCCACTTTTAAACAGTTCACAAGAAGTTCATCAGGGCGGCGATTATAACTGCACACACGCGCGAACCCGGGGCGGCGAGCGCCAAGGGGCGGCTTTTGGAGGAAAAAAGGGCTGGCAGCTGGCAGCTGTCGGGGCGCGGGCTCTGAGCTGCCCGGGTGGGCCCTGGGACATCCCGCTGCCTCCCCGCGTCCTGCACCCTGGCAGGCTTTGCCCTTCTGCAGGGGTGGTGGGACGTGGGGCCTCCAGATTACCCGCTGTGGCTGGGGAAGCTCTCGGCTCCCCGTGCAACTTCAGCGTTTTGCTATCTGCACATGTCAGGGGATTGACGGGCTCTAATTCAGGCACCGTGCCTTATCTTAACGATACACTTCCACTGAGGAAACCAGGCCGGCACAGGTGGCCCCTCCGAGGAGCAGCATGGGTTGGCCTTGTGTACCCCTGAAGGAAAGCGGGGTGCGGGGAGTGGGGCCGTGCGCCGCCGAGGCCCGTCTCCTCCGAGCCGGCATCCGTCCCTCAGGGGTGAGGCAGTGCATGGGGCGGCTACTAACCTTATGTAAAACCCTAAATCACTCTCTCCATGCTGCTGCTGCCTCTATTGAAAACATTACGAGCGGTGCATCTGGAAACCAGTAAATCTGTCCAGAAACCGTCTTTCCAGTGAAATAACTCCTTTTGAATGATAGCGCGGCATCCAGTCTCCGCGGATTTTTGTTTCCTCGCAGCGATTTTTGCGGACTTCATTAGGGAAAGCTAACCGTTCTGGAGAGAGGAGGGTCAACACGCCGTTTCATTAATATACATTTGTTCCAGACGTGGAGTTTTGCACAAAAGGCCTCTCGGAGGGGAGAAAAAAGTGTTGGGGAACAAGGCTTTCCTGCCGTTTCAGTTCTTAAACCTCTCTGAACGTGTGTGAAGTATTGTGTTCAAGGCCCAATCTGGGCTTCTTCCCCATTAAATGCCAAAGTGATCATTTGCATATTTTGTAGCCTGACAAAGGAAATGAGTTTGCTGGGGAAGCATGGATGCTTTGGGAGACGTTAGGCATTAAACTCCCAGTGGTCAATCGCCCGTTACTGGCTTGTGTGTGTGTGTGTGTGTGTAAAAGGAGTATCATGCCTCCCGCTTAAAGGCTTCTATTTTTGTGAGAGAGGAAGAGCTGAGGGATATCCTGTGCATTAAAGGCTCCCCCTACTTATTAACCCAGCATTTAGCAGCAGGATGCAGGCTGAAGCTCAGTCAAAAGAAACGACTCAACCTCCGAAGAGCAATTAAAATCTTGCACTGGAATAAATCATGCGCCGCGATAATCCTGTTAATAAAACGCAGCTTGTCCTGACACTTCGCTCATGCAGCAAACTAGAATTTAATGTGAGCGGAGGTGGCGTTAGGCAAGGTAGAGGGGAGGAAAAGCCTTTCCCTCTCCACTGCTGGCTGCGAAAATGCGGTTACCTTTCACCTGCCTCTCTGGCTGCACACGGCGCCGATCCTCTTGGACTGCTAATACTTCTCCAGCGAGCCCGCTAATGATTTCTTTCCCTGGAGTGAGCAGGCATCATTGAATTACTGAAAGCACTCGCAGCAGCAGCAGCAGCAGCAGCAGCAGCAGCAGCAGCAGCAGCTCCCATGCAGAAGCCACCAGAGCTTGGTGCTTAATCAAATCAAGGGGTGGGGAGCTTGCCAGCCCGCTTACTATTTTTAACCCCTTTCTCCAAGTTAGTCATGTGCAGATGCTAAAGGGGAGGTTTTTATTTAGATCTCTTCTATAGCAGCGTCTCTTCAGTTTTAAGTCCTCGCGTGAAAGCTTTATCAGCAATCAGCGTAGCTAATACACACGGTATGTGGCTGTTCTTGTGATGCACTCCTGCTCCTGTGCGTACCTAATGCAGGGCTTTTGTGAGCGCCTGTGGGTAGTTTTGCATGTTCCCCCAGCCCGTGGGGTCTCCCTCCGTGGTTCAGCCTGTGTGAGATGAAGGTTTGGGGACTGGTATATACTTGGCCGGCTGAGTCATTTCTTGTTCAAATGAAATGCAGTGGAGAAACTTTTATTTGTTGATAGCCTGGAATGATTCTTAATTTTCTGGATGTGCGCTGGGAAAAAGATCCATCTCCTCTGACCTATAAATGCCCTCAATTTGCTCCTTTATTGCAGGGTATCTCCCTTAGCGGTTAACGTAGGCAGCTCACTCCCCGCACCAATCCTGCATTCATTATTAATTACCCGGAGGGAGGCTGGCTGCTCCGCCGTGATGTTTGCACTTCCTCCTAGACAAATCTGCTCAAATTTTTTTTTCTTTTCTTTTCTTTTTTTTTTTAGTAGAATATAAAACCGTGAAGAAAAGCGTCGATTTCTAAGAAGACGTCATGCTTTCTGCAACTCCCCTGTATGGCAACGTTCATAGCTGGATGAGCAATGAAAGGGTCCGCATGTGTGGAATTAATGAAGACAGGTAAATATTTAAGCTTCTGGCAAGTTAAACCACACTAATTCTGCAGCATGAGGTCTCGGAGTTCGCTCGCTTCCCTAATGCTGGAGTAGATAGCTGCCGCCTTGCATCGAGATCAGCCCAGCTTGGAGGGGGAGCGGGGAGGGAGAAACAAGACGTGACTGAGAGCGGTAGAGCAGCCACTGATTTACTATTTAACAGGCAACCTGGGTCAGTGAAGCGGGGACGCCCTTTAAAGAGATTACTCCCCAAAGCAGCCTTTAAACGTGCTTTTACAATTAATTTATTATTTCGTATTTGTGAAGGGGAATTAAACCAAATAGTGCACACGTTCTTGCGGTGACTCTATACGGCAGAGGGGCTCCTGCCTGCAGCTTGGCGTTCCCTGCCTTCGGACTGACAGCTTGTCCTGTGAAAGAGGAACAGCGGCCTTTCCGTCTCCCACAAGTGAATTTCTCTTCACAGTAATTAAAATTACAGTCTCTAATAATTTTCGATGGGGTGACGCGGGCACTGGCCGGTGTCCTCTTCCCTTAAACCCCAGCTTTCTAAAAAGTGAAACGACACTGAACAGAAGCTGCAGGTATGCCTGCGGTTCTCTGTGCCAATTTTGTGTAGTTTTAGTGTTCTTCTGTCTTTTCTTTGAGCCCGTGTTCTCACCATTGTGTGAAAAGCCTCCCAGAAGCTGGGGAAAGTTTTTGGTCTTTGCAGGGAAAAACTATTTGCAGACATAAACTGGAGGAAAACGGCCAGACCTCTCACTCTGGCTTCGCACCCTCTCTCCCTGCTTTCCTCTCAGTAATTTAGACATAATGTTTTTACGTGTTACTTGCAGGAAAGGTGAATCTTTTAAAAATGAATAAACAAATACATGAAAATCTTAATTTCTGCCTTAAGGTGATGATGTGCCTTTAAGCACTTTGATTGAAAGGAGTTCTTTTGGGTAATGCTGAAACTTTCCTTCTGCTGCATGTCAGCGATTTTTATCCCTGGGATTTGAAATTTGGCACTAAGGTATATTCTCTATCGGTGCTTTCTGTGATAACAAGTCCCAGTGCTGCAACACTGGTATGGCACAGATGTGCAGCTCCCTCTTTAGCATGGAACAGCTGACGTTCATATGATATTAGCGTGTGTGTTTTAATTTTCTCATCGGCAGCGTTTATGGATGGTACATGAACAGGGTATGTTTAAAATAGTGTATTCTCTCCTTGGGAAAAAAAAAAGGGCAAGGGGCAGAATAGAAAACCTTCACAAAGATCACTTGGGTTGGAAGAGGCTGCTCTGAGGTGTGCTCGGTGTGTTCTTGCTGTGAAAACCCTTTATACTTGTTTTCAAACGGTCATTGCTTTCTAAAGTAGTCGCTGTGCATGGGTACGGAGGAGAATAAGTATGGTATTATATGGGACTTCTCTATGGGAATCAAAATATGGAGGTGATGTAATCTTGTACTGATCTGAGATGCGCAGGATGTTTTCAAATAGTAAGCTGCTGTTTTTTACTAGGAAAATTCCCGTTAACGATGGCGATGCACCGAAAAGCAGACTGGAGTTGAGGGAAGAAAATCACCTGAATCACAGTGTGGTAAGAAGTTAATACCTTCATGCTGCAGCTGAATCTGTGCTTGTCCTCCCCACCCTGTCTCCCACCTCTGGGTGTTATTACATGATCCATTTGGAGAAATTATTAAAATACCTTTCTGTTGCAGCTCTAGCCAGGCTTGGGCACATACGAGTTGTTTCTCTGAAACAGTGAAATAGGACTTCGTTTATTTATCTTGTTAATCTCTTGACGCTGACTTTGTGGTGTGTGTTGTATGACATCATATTCTTACTTTTGCTCCGCGTACGGGCCTGTGTAGCAAAAATAGTTCATGTAAGCGTTAAATACATCAACGTTTCACCAAAGTTGATGGTTTTCTCCTGTGAGTGTACGCGGGGAGCAGCGAGTGGGGAAGAAATTTGACAGCGGATCTTTCTTCGTGCTGCATCCTCAGACGCCTCGCCCTGTGAATCGTGTGGCGGTGGTGAGCCCTGGAGCAGAGCTGCGGCAGAGGGAGAGGTCCTGGAGGAGGAGGAGGAGGAGAGGCTCTCCATCCTTCCCTTCCCGCTCTCCATGCCCCTGCCCACATCCTCTTGCTCTGGCTGGGCTGGGGCTGAGGAGCCGGTTGCCGCACGGGAGCGGTGCCACCGAGCATTTTCTCTGGGCCGCTTCTGGCTGCTTGGGCTATGGGTCCTCAGGCCTTTGTTTCTAGCTGGTGAATTCTGGATGTGGAGGGATTTGTACGGATGTTTGCGGTGATACGTATTGCTCCATAGGTTCCTGTTGTCCCGTTCTCCAGCCCGATCAGCCTCTCTATGTTTTCATGACTAACAGCGTGTTTGCACTGGTATTGTTTCTCTTCCAAATGCTGACATGTCTGTAGCTTGAGCAGTAGTCATTGTAGCGAAATGTGAAAGTAACATACTTCTTGTTCTGTAAAGGTGGATGCAACTACAGCACATCGCATTGACAGTCTCGCAGCTCTGAGTATGGACAGGTCTGGACTCATGCGAGAAGGACTCAGAGTCCCCAGTAGTATTGTCTATTCCAGCTTGTGCGGACTCGGCTCGGAAAAATCACGAGATGCTACGAGTTCGATAGCCGGGCTTGGATTTACTCCTGAAAGAAATCCAGAGATACAGTTTAAATCTAATCCCCCCGAAGCAGTAGAAAACGCAGCTGTCTCTGGAAAAGCCCCGAATGGCTTCAGCGCTATATACAAAACGCCACCTGGAATACAAAAAAACTCTGTCCCGACAGGGGAAACACTGGGTTTGGACCGAGCTGCAGGTGACAAGCAGAGTCCCCTCGGTGTCAATGGTGCTAGTTACCTAAGGCTCCCCTGGGTAAACCCCTATATGGAGGGCGCAACACCCACCATATACCCTTTCCTTGACTCACCAAATAAGTATTCGTTGAACATGTACAAGGCATTGCTACCTCAGCAGTCCACCTACAGCTTACCGCAGCACCTGGCTTACTCGCCCGTATGTACGAACGGTGAACGTTTTTTATACCTGCCTCCCTCCCACTACGTTGCCCCCCACATCCCTTCGTCGCTGGCGTCACCCATGAGGCTCTCGACTGCTTCGGCCTCACCGGCGATCCCGCCTTTGGTGCACTGTCCGGATAAGAGCTTGTCATGGAAGATGGGTGTCAGCCCTGGCACCCCTGTTGATGCGCACGCCTACCCTCACATCCAGAGCAGCAAGCAGCCCCGGGTCCCTGCTGCCAAGCCGGCCCCCGCCAACATGCCGGCAGACCCCGCGCTCCTGCTGCCGCACTCACCCCCGCCCTCC